ACTCCTTAACTTACTGTTGTTTTGTAGACATACACACTCAACAAGAATGTCATCATCTTCAAGAAAACGTTTTTTTGGGGGGGCTGAGCAATCCCGGAAATAGATAAAACAAATAATTATGTACATGATAATTGAACTCACCGATTGCTGTGATGCTACACCGCCAATAATGCTGGTACTAGTGTTAGTGGTATATGCACCATGTCTATAGTGTCACGAGACTGTTTTGGCAACCTAGAAAATACGTACTTATAGTTTAGGTGCACATAAATAGCAGGCTAACATTGAGACTCGTGTCACGTCGGTTCATGCATGACCGCATTATGTCAATTCAGGGACGTCTATTGACTGCCAAGGTAAATAATGTCTCTCGTATATTCAATGGATTCAGTATAAGAGGCTAGGGGAGTGTCGGTGGTCGAGTGATTAATGACTGATTTGCAACCGATATTTTAAGCACTCTATACAAACTTCTAAGATTCGAGAACAATGCCCACAAGGTGGTCAGTTTATAGTGATGATGGGACGCGTACGCTAAGGGACGACGTCAAAAGATCGATGTCGGATAAAAAACTTAATTCCTTTAATTTTTTACAAACCTCCCTACCCCCCACTGAAACTTAATTGATAAATATTGGTCATGGCGTCAGACTACATTCACCATTAAATACAAATTGATAATCGGACAGTAGTATTGCATAGCAGTTGGCTGTCGGGTGGATGTAAACAATTTTACAAATGCACCTCATTTGACGCACAGATTTACACTTGAACCAAACCATTTTTCTGTTTTTTTCCCTTTTCGGTTATTTCTGTCCATGATTGGATAGATAAAAAACGAACTAAAAATACTCCAAGATTTTTTTGACTTCATTAAAAAATAAAATCGTTTTTGTAGGATGGAAACTTTTTTAGGTCAAACCCCCCCCCCCACCCCCAAACTTAAGAAATAAGTTTTTTTATCCGACATCGATCTTTTGACGTCATCCCTTATCGAAGAAGAATGTGTATAGATTCTATTACCCCCCCTCTCCCCTTCCTGTGAAACAATTGCTTTGCATGCGCTCTCTGCATATATATAGATAATATTAGTTTGTTTTAGCCTTGCCAATCTAAAAAAATAATGTGTTCTACTGTCAAAAAATCCACCGGTTGGTATATTTTGATCATGATTAAATGCCCATATACACATAGATACAAATTATTGTTCGAAAATTCAGTTTTACGAATAAATCGTGAAAACAAATATCCCTCAATTGTGAACAACCCATCTATTATATTAACTAGATTCAACTAATTAGTATTCCTGTTGGTGTTTGGTATTTTTCTACGTGACCTCCGATTGTTTGGGATCGTCGTCATGGCAATGTGCAATGTTGACAAAAGACGAATCTTCCATTCATCAAATGTTTTCTTCTACCTCGACACGGAGAACATACCTTCAATGCATTGTGTTAGCCAAGGCGAGTTATATTTCTACGAATGTACCGTCCTTAATATAATATGCGGTAACGCCGCGTCAGAGAATGCGATGCAATAGATATGCACAATATTAATAAAAGATCATTAGACTGCATAAGCCCTTTCTAAAGCAAATACATGTTTTTCTCATTTTTCTTTTAAAATTGAATAAATGCACTATTTTGGAAGATTTCAGTAATTATACTGCTTCGTCGAAACCGCTACTAATATAAGTCAAATCATGTATGGCATATGGCGTAACTTCTTATAGATAAGAGGATAATGTGAACATTGTTGTCCGTGCACGTGTAAGTTATCCTTCGAAGAGCGAAGTATGCAACACTTTGAAGTCACAGACAGGTGTATTTGCAGTTAGAAATGCTGGTGTTTGATATATTATTAATGTAATTATCATTTAGAATGAACTATATTTGTCATAAACTTAATCTTTTATTGTTGGGTACATATTTCTACTTTGTTTTCAGTAACTAGTTCAAATAAAGATCATGAACACACACAAAATAAACAAATTCCCGAAATATGTTGCACCGAAACACTATATTGATAACAAATAGGAAATTACCCCCATACGTCACATAAAAGCTACTAGTTGTGATTTATGCGTCCATAAAATATATTCAAAATATATGTATAAGCGTGTTTCTTCCACGCGGAAGGTAATTAAATGAAATTAATGCGTTTATATTGATGGGAAATTGATACTGATTAAATGGTTTCAAAGAATGCGCAAGTAGTCTGAGCCATGTTGTATTGTTTCTGTATGTGTTTAACTTTATTTCTTGACTGTCTTAACATAGCCTCTACCGGTATAAATATGACCCAGTCGTGAAAATATGAAGATGAAAGATGAAACACAACAGCCATGCTATTGCATGACCCCCCATATATCACAATTGAGGAAATCGTGAAAATGTATTTTCGGAAATCAAATCATCTTTACATTACACTAAAGTGATATTTACAGCACGAGTTCAAGGCAATCTACAGTCACTGTGAGCGCACATACATTTGACTTAAAGCGCGGTGGTCGTCGCGCAGCGCGTGTTCGAATTTCATGTAAATATACAATGTATTTTACACGCGTTGTATACGTCGCTATGAGTCCCAAATCAAACGCGGCACGGCGACCACCGCCCTTTTAAGGTCGTGTGATATAATTTGCAACTGGAGCATGCTATCAATAACACGACGCCGACTGTCGTAACAACAACATAGTGGTTTTATATCACTGCTGGTTCGTTGAACAATGCCATGGTGGAGCGAAGTATGTGTGAGTCGATTATCTAGTGATTTGGGGTCAGACTTACTTGTGTGACTTCTTAGCGATAAAGTTGTTCAGACACAACCAATCAGCACAATGTTTTAAATCACATCCCCAGCATTCAGTGCTATTCCGTCATATTCATTTTGTCGACTAGTAGATACACTAACTGTGGAGACAATGTTGAATCCCGCCGATGTTCTGGTGGAATTACTATTTTAAGCAGTTGCCAAAAACATGTTCTACTCAACTACGCATGCGTGAATATAAATTGTGCTGTTCCCGTGAAACCAGCGTCGCCCCATTACATCACCTTGAGACAAGTACGTTCATGATTGGTTAACACGCGCCATCCACGGCCCAGATACTGCACCCATTATATATAGATGTTAGCGTGAATGCCTATTTCCCTGTCCCATTAAATTAAATTAACTTACCGAGCTAATAAATTAGATCTCATAAAAACATTTATCTCGTAAATGACTTAGATAATCGTCAGTGTATTGCTGTGACGCCGATAATTCTATTACGGATGTATATTCTTTTATTTGTTTGTTTGCATCATGGCTAGAGTCGCTAATGAACGTCATAGAACTGCCGTAGCCTGTTAATTTGAGATCAAAATAAATCACAAACTGAAAATATTTTTCAAGGAGTGTATTCTTAGCAACAGGATTCGATTAGTATAAAACTCGCAAATTCACGATAATCGTGGTACAAATGTGATAAATCATAGTTACGTCACGGCATACACTCATGCATACATTAACCATTACGTGACTATCATAATTGTTACCGCCAAATTGTCTGTGTAATATTTTGCAATTTTTTACGTTTTTCTTTCTTCAATTTTTGTGTTAATTTTGGACCAAATAAAAAAATATAAAGTCATATAGATGAAATTTTGCTAGAAGATGATAATAATATCTATGTATATTTTTAATGATTCATATTTAACACATTAATGTCACGTGCCAGCCGCCGTGATGGTTGTTTTCATCTTTACTGTAGGAATTCTGTTTCAATTTAGTGCATTTATGTGCATGAAGCGGAAACCTGCAAAATAGTCTATTGCAAATTCAATTTAATCAAGGCCTTCTGGCGTGATTCTGTTTTGAGAGCCCAAGTCGTGATATTGAGATTAACTTTTTGCTACATAAGTTAAATAATTTAACATTATACACATAAGTCCTGTCCGGGCGACGACAAACAACAGACTCGGGTGACGCAGGTAGCAACGCGATAAATAACAACAATATACATATACAGACAGAGTTAGGGATACCTATACCATCGTCTGAACTTTCTGTATATAAACTAGGGGGTCTTTCAGAATTCTGGTCTCCTGGACAGTGACCTTTCGAAGACATACGGTTCACTCCTACATATTGCCATTGGGATATAGAGTTGAGACGATGTTATTGGGTATAATATAACACATGGTCATACAAACTGTAATATTTGCATTTTTTATTGAATTTATCAAAAATATTCATGAAATGTATTTGTCAGAATCTGTATCAAAACACTATTTAATTTACATTTGTACATATTACCAATAATCAATTCAAAATCAACATAATACAAATACATAATACAAAATATATTTTAATTATGCATGCAAATTAGCCTTTCCATCTATTAATACATTCATGGAAGTATAACTGCAAAAAACTGACGATATGAACATTGTTTATAATTAATTTGGCACGTTTTTTGCTGTAACTGAAAACGCCGTCTTTGATGATGGCATATTTAGTTCATAATATACAAACACACAAACGACCGTATTATAAATGTATACGATATTTATGAATATTTATCTTCACTATTAATTCATATTTGTGATATTCCCGTATACTTTTGTCTAACAACCATTTTCAAAACTTAAATTACTAATGATCATACAACTAATTTACACGGGTTAATAAGGTGTGTGTCAAAATGAATGGCATGCTATCATTCATTAAACATCCAGTGCTCAAATATAACACATATAAAAACATACAATAGGAATGCACTTTCGGTATTAAGATATTACCCGGGGTAATTACAGAAGCCAGCTGCCAATTTCGACTTAGCATTGAGGACGTATATTGTAAGTACACACAGTCAGGTAATCTATCTGGTTGACTTACACTCGACGACCTTTTCTGTTTTGAGTAAATTTAGGGACTGTGTCTTGTGTACAACATAGAGGACCTATTTTTCAACTTAACCAACTTGGCCAGATGAGATGACTGACTTTTTACGAATTATAATTGATAACACTGACTCTAGGGGGTACTATTCTTGTAAATAACCATTACCTTAAGGGGTACTATAATTTACAATACTAGTATATCTAATCTCGCTGCCCCATATTATAAAAATAATTTCAAATCAAGCTTAGAGAAAAAATGTTTTATGTAGAAGATAAGAACAATTATAGATATTTAGCTTTCAACGATTTCTATAAATCGACACATTTAAATAATTTGTTATAGTAGTGATATGAAAAACAGAAATAAAATACTGTAAGTCTTTGTTTATTTGCATCATATCCGATGGTTTCACAGACGAACCATCCAATCACGAAGTTGATCTAAGCAGAAGATTTCTTCGTGCATTTAATCCGATATTTCTTCTAGAGTTTTCCGGTATTGATAAATGAGTTCGTCCCCACTGGATCTCTGTGAACACGAAAACCCCAATATTGACGTGAACATTTTGAGTTAATCTTTAGCAAATATTAGTAGTCTCAATCGCGCGTTGACCGGGAATTCTGTGAAAGATTAGAGAGAAAGGAGTTAGGCATAGAATGCGATGTCATTATCGGGGTTAGTTTAAAGCGGACGAGATGGATAATACGTTTTTCCCGTTTTTTACTTTGGAGTGAGGACTGTGTTAGTTTGAGTAGTGGGTATTTTTATCAAATTATATGTATTTGTTTTTGTTTTTAGGAAAATGTTATACAAACCCGTTGTTTTCGATGACGTCTCCTCTGCCTGTCACTATCCTCACGATCACGCGACCTGTCCCTCTCTCTGTACCGAGACCTATCTTTGTCTCTTCGATGCGACCTCTCCTGAGACTTTGCACGGTATTCGCCGTCATACCTGTCGTCGTACCTGGAAGACGGCCGCGGTTCTGATCTACTTCGTCTGTCCTTTCGTCTTGGCCTCTCTTCATCCCCGTCTACCTCCCTCATCTCAACGTCATCGCGGCGAGAATGAGACTTGGAACCTCTATCTGATCTGCGCGAATCGTCATGACGACGCTTTGAAGACCTTGGACGTCTTTCGTCATCATCCTTATGGTCTGAACGACGTTTGCTGTCTACATGATTGTTATGTGCTTTATCCCTTTTGTTGTCATGGGAATATGGTTTGCTGTCGTTATCACTAGGGTCAACGACATTTCGTCTAGATTTCTTCTTTCGTCGTCGTCGTTTGCCGTGCTTTTCGTAGACTACCTCGTAATAATCGTTATCGCCTGGTGCTCCCGGGTAGCCGTTCTTCAAAGGAGGGAGACCTTTAGGTTTCGATCCGCTGGCAAAAAAGTTAGCTTTGGTAACGATCCCACCTGATTTAGCTGTGTTTGATGGGCCCACCATGTGTGAAATAACGGCACGATCCTTGTGTACTATGATGTTTTCATCGTCGTCATCTGGAAAAAAATCAAAATGTTTATTTGATTGACAGATCGATCGATCTGATTGATTGATTGATTGATTGATTTGTTGATGCAACATTACATATAAGTACGCCTGTAGCCATTTTTTTTTTGTCCGAATCGAATATCATCATGCATATTAATTATATTACGTAATATTTAGTGATGTCATTTAAAATAAACGCCATTTACAGATAAATAAAACACAATAGATCATTTTCCGTTCACTGCGAGATCCCGCCTTATGCGTGAAATCGAACGTAAAAAGGGCACAAACAAAAGTCAAGCGTCGTAGTGGCGACAAACATCGCGTGGAATTCGACAAACGCAAAAGTATTTTGGGGGATATTTCCATGCTTAATAATGTGCTGTCCACATTTGATGATGGTCAATTTTGATGAAATAAGGGTATTCAAACGCAATATTCCCTTGTCAAAGACCAGCCTTTCGATGTGAGCTACAAAATAAAGAAATTCGAGTAAAAATCAAATCGTTCGATTTTTGAGGCAGACGTTCGGCGCGTGTGTTTCACGCAACTCGCGAGATCTCGCAGTTGAACTGAAATCACCTATTGTTCACAAAGTGACGTAAACATTCAGATTAGGGCGTATTGGAAATAGTATACTAGTATACTCGCTCACCATCATCATCATCATCATCTTCGGTGCGTTTTTTCCAGACGCAGTATACAATGGCTGCTATGACTACACCGGCGATTATGATACCAGCAACCAGAGCAACAACCGCTGCTAATATTTTGAACGTTAAGGTGTCTTCCTCGTCTTGTACAAAACCTAAGAGTTAATCCATAGTCATAATAATGAAACAGAAATGGTTTCAACCCCCAAGGAAGATGTTTGGAGATGAAGTTAAATAACTCGTGAATGTAAGACATTTTGGTTAAATAAAATCCAAAATGGCTACCATACTAAAGAAAAAAAAACTCACCTTGGATTTTTATACTAGCAGTCGCTTTCTGTGTGTCTGCGTCACTCGTTGCCACGCACCAAACTTTCGCATCGTCCATGTTTTTCTCAGCGCTGAGCAAGCGAAGTACGGTTTTGTCTTCCTCAAATTGAAATCTCCTGTCAGTCGAGTTGATTGTGCTGCCCTCATACGACCACGAGTAGCTAGTCACCGGTGGGTTGCCAGTTGCGTTGCACGTAAAGTGGCCTTGGGCGCCTTCTTGTATTTCCATCACACTTGGACTTACATCAATAGTAATGCGTGGTATCACTGAAATAAATACATAAAAATAAAAGTGGATCATCATCATCACCTTTGTTGTTGTTTGTGATGGCAATGGTGCTGATGTTGTTAACTTACATTGAATTTCAAGAGGTCCAACACTACATGCATGAATTTCCGTGTGTGTCACGTGATTCGAGGTACAGATAAACACAGCTCCTTGCAAATCAGGCATCAAATGAAGCGGCAGTCCCATCCTTATACCGTAAGCTGACTGCATAACAACACCCTCCAAATCGACCCCAGATCGACTCCAGGTCAACGTAGCCGGTGGGTTACCGCCTTGACTTGAACATATTAACGTGACATTGTCATCTTCGACCAACTCTCCTTGTGGCGGAAAACACTGTGGGTTGCCACTTGCCGGTGGGTCAGCAGCTACAGAGATTGACAAACGAACACGTTACTCGGGTTATTCTGAAAACAAATCAATGACTTCTAGTTTTCTGAATCTAAAATAGGAACTAGTGTTTGTTTTTGAGTACAATTTATTTCCAACGTCCATACAAAATAGGAGTTTCAAAAACAACGCGTCGCGCTGTATGTAAGTACATTGTCTGAGAAATGTAAGACATGAATGTGCACTCAAATTGTGATAAGCTGAGGACAATTTGTCCATGGACGACTGGTCATAAAAGCTACCCCTTGTCGTGCATGTAAATATAGAAGTCAGGCAACTGGAAACTTGTATATGCGATGCCGGTACAATATATGTAAAAAGTTTCCTGATTGGTTGAGTATTTGCCTAAGTGATGAACTATACCTCCTATAGGAGATGGTCACTTGTTTATTCTTTCTGTATAATAGTTTACTCGTTGTCCACCAATTTGTACTTTGTACTGGGAAATATGCTACGAGTGAGAGAAAACAGTAACGTATTCCCAATGACTGTGACCACGGACATACATTTTGCACATAAGTGAACTGGTTCGCTCTTTCCGAATCACGGCATTCCATGTGCGCCACGTGATAGAAAGAAGATCGGGGACTGGAACTACCTCCAACAAGTGACTTACCTAATACTGTCAATGTAGCCAATGATGAGAGGGTGCCGCCGAATCCACAATAATATCCCCCTCCATCTTCCATCTCAATATTCGTTATTCGGAGATTGTATTCTCCCTCAGTCTGGTCTCCTGTGATGGAGAACCTAAACACAGAATTAAATAAATATGAGTTCAAATATTTGAAAGTTGTTCATTGTATTTAAATATGTGTTCCGGTATTGGTGCCCGATCATAATGTCGATGTAGTGTGTACTCCAGAATAATTATTTTTCGCCTTCGAGTCCAAAATCTAAATTTCTATGTGTTCCCTGTTTATTCTCTTCAAATGACACGTGTCTTTAGTATAACGTACAATATCAAGTTAATAATAGAACTTGGTATATCAAAGAGAATTATCAGTTTTATAACCGACCACGAGTAAATCGATTTAGGAAAGTTCTCAGGCAAATTATATTGTGGAAGCAGTGTCCTATTAAATATACTCATGTTTTAAAATTACACCTGCTTGAATACATAGATGCCAAAACAAATATCAACTTTTGTTACATTCAAACAATATATCGTTCTTTTAAAATCGTGCCCTGTGGCGATAAATTTCTGTGACGTCACAAATGACGTAAACTGGTGAAACCATGTAGTCCAAAATGACACTGGTAGTTTGTGTAATCATTCGTCATTTAGAATGGAGTGGGACTCTTAAAGCCGGGGAGTTGTCACCTGCGCATGCGTCAGATGGCCATAGGGTGTCATTGTTTACAAACAAGCGTCTACCGATGAGCCTTTGCGTTTTTAGCGTGTGTTGTTATCGTCGCTTGGGACTCAATTCCCGCGCGTGCGCATGTGACGACCCTCTCGCTTTAATTGTTCATTGACTAGGGTGACTAGTGATCAAAACAATATCGACTCTATGAATTTCGTGCCATCCATTTACATCATAGAAACGTTTTGACGCTAGAGGGCGCAACTTTTAAGCCGTGTATTGTAAGTTTCAAATTTGGGTGATTTATCTTCAAAAACTGTGATCCAATTACATAATAAAAATATGAACTTAACCAGGTTTGACCATGATTGGTCTTCTTGGCAACAAACATAATCCTTATCGTCATATTACATAGATAACAAAAAATTAGATGCTAAAATAAAAAAGTAATGTTTTACCTTTCATTATATGAATCTGAAACGACAGTATCCGTGCTGACGATGTCACCTCCTTTTAACCAGATAACATTTTGTTGTTTATTTGCGACTGCACAGTTCATTGTAGTTGTCTCACTGACTCGCACAGTTTCGTCATCTGGCACCACAGTTAAAATTTGACCTTCAGCTAAAATTAATTCATAATACCGAAATAATTAATGACGTAATAATGTATTCTTGTTCGCTCAATATTGCAATACAAACGGTGAGAGCTGCTGACAAAACAACATCTCTGTTTGTGGAGTTTGTGAAAGGGTACATCTATCATTGAGTTTAGTCATTGTGGGGCAGGTTTCTGTTGTGCGCATGCGCACTGTTTCAATGGTACGTACCGATAAATGAAAATTGATTGTGCACTTATTATGCGAACATTGTATCAACGCCAATTCTATACTTACAATTCACACTAAGTCGACCAACTGTTGAAAACAGTCTATCGTTATTACCAACCGCCGACACCTGACAGTGATAACCCCCCTCGTCGTCTTCACTGGCTAAGACTATCTTCAGGTTGTATTCTCCTTGCGATGTGTCTCCCTCTATGGTAATTCTCGAACCAGCCAAGAGAACATTCGTCCCGTCGCTGATCTTTACGTTATCTTTGTACCAAGTGACTTCACCTACAAGGTCACTGACTTCACACCGCAGAACAGCACTCTTGCCAGAAAAGACTATGGTGTCAGATGGCTGGTTGACAAATGCCTGAAACGCTATTTATAGGTAAACATATATATAGAGATGTAAAAATGTTTGTCGATTGATTTCCATATTTCGCTATTAATGGGCGGCGGTCGTCACGATATTCAAGTTTGTGTTGATAAACATAGCTTTTCTAATGAATTCACAAGTGCGAGTTTTGATCTGAATGCAACATGCGCTAATTGTCGTCGGTGACTTCTTCGATACCATGCAATCACCGTAAGAACTACACAATTAAAGCTTGGTAACGTCTCAGTTTGTACTCGTCGGTGTGCGCAACAGTCAAATCTTTGTATATATGAGACCCGATATTTTGCGCATGCGTGGCGCGACGACCACCGCCCTTCTATGAAACGTCGCACGTCGTTCTTATTAATTGATTATTCGTTTATTAAGATTTATTAAGATTTGGACAGGAGTGAACTATTTTACATAATCAAAACTAACATCGAAACTTCCTGAGCCCAACTGTTTAAACTTTGTACAACACTGCTTGTATCAATTTGCTTTCACTAACTGGATGAAGAAGTTTTGTTTCAAAAGAGAAAAACTTTGAAGAAGCTCGTATTGTGTTGTTATTGTTCTTGAACACTACGATAAAGACTTCGTTTTCGACATTGTAAAATACTTTCTTTTTTTGGAAACAAAAACTTGAAAACAACAGATTTTGACAAGAGAATCCAGTAATATATTAGGAATATTTCATAACGAAATATATGATCCCATATGCATACCATTACCAAAAAATGTAGCTTATTCAACAACTCATGTATGAACAATAACTTTAATAAAAATGATTTTACTGAAAAAAATGTATTTTTCTCCATAAAAACAAAAGAATTTCACAATGTTAAAAACGGAAAGTCTTCATCGTAGTATTTGTGTAATCAATGCGTATTGTTTTCAAACTCACCGTTTACTGTGACAGTGGCTGTAGTTGAATCTAAATCCGGGTGACCAGTGGTTGTGCCGCTGACCGTACACTGATACGACCCACTGTCCTCTACCACAGCCGTTATTATCTGTAAATTGAACACTGTTCCCGAATTCCCTCCGTCAACTACACTGATCCGTGTGTCTGATGTCAGTCTCGTATAATCACGTGACAGCACGGCGCCATCTTTGACCCAGACTAACTGGTCTACTTTATCGCTTACGGAACAGGTTAGTGTCAACGTATCTCCAACAGTGGCGTCAACGTCAGAAGGTTGTGTTAGGAAAGCTTGAGGTGCTGAAAAAAATGGTTTAATTATTTCAGGTTTGTTTAGAGAAATATACTCAAAACAATAATTGTCTTTGTATCGGTAACTTGAAACCAATACATTATCAATACCACTTCAAACAATACTGGTGTGAACTAAAAAACAAATGGATTGCTATGGACGAGGAAAAAAATGTAGTGGGCGAAAAAACAATTGTATTGTTATGAACGAGAACAATTGTATTATTGTGGGCGAGAAAACAATTGTATTGTCCTTGACGAGAAAACAATTGTTCGAGCAATGTTTAATGACTCATAAAATGAATTACCCAGAATGCTCTCACAATGACATATGTTGAACTCCGAAACGTGAGAAAAAAATGTGTCAATTCTGCCTTTCGATTCTTAAGGTAAAAATAACTTCATAGTCTCTCAGGATCCTGCATTATTACAATTGTACCATATCAAACTTGAATAGTATGTTGTACTTACGTCCAACTGACAATACAGCACTAACCGGACCAATCGCTGCAATGGCACCATTAGCACTCACTGCACAGTCATACGTGCCTGCGTCGCCATTAACAATAGATGAAATCTGTAAGTTGTATTCTCCTGACTGATGGTTACCAGTTATCGCTAAGCGACTGTTTCCGTTGGTGATGGCGGCGTCACTACTTATTTCGACACCTCCTTTGCTCCAAGTCAAAATCCCGGCTTTGTTGTCCACTGTACATTCAAACGTTACTACCGCATTTACCGTAGCCGGGGTGTCAGTGGGTAGTGGCGCTCTGAACGATTGTTGTGCAAAAACTGCAATTTAAAAAAAAAATATGGGTTTAAAAAAACAGGCGGAATCATGTTGGCGAATAGTGTAAAGGTGTGATAGTAGTGTAACTATTTTATTTTCCCCGCGGTGCGTACTGTTTTCTGTCTTTGTGAATTTCATGCTTGGATTTCACTTACAAGCAGGCAGCGGCCATTTTGTGATTGCAACCGTCAGCCTCCACAATGCGGGTGAACAATGATTGTTTCCATCATCCAATGGGATTTATTTAGGTTTAGTGAGTTGTTGGCTAACCTAACCTTCCTGCAAATTTCGACTATAACAAGAAATTGATTGTGTTAGTAAATTTGCCTCATCACTATTTGGCTGTATGCCTCGGTGTCCGTGTATCTTTCTCTCATGTGTTCATAAGTTGTTTTTGTTGTTCTACGTTCTTAAAAAATTCACTGTTAAGGATTAGTATTTTAAATGTATTAATTTGTTAGGATGTTGTTTCTACTTTGCTAACTTGATATTCTCGAAGTAGTAAAAGTAAAATAGTTAGTAAGTAGTTAGTAAATAGTTAGTGAGTAGTTAATATGTAGTAAGTAGTTAGTAAATAGTTAGTAAGTAATTAGTAAATACTGTAAAAAGGTTAATTATTCACTGGGTTTTAATTTCGCTGACTGGAAAATGCGCTAAATACCTACCGAATATGTAAAATTTAGCATAGAACACATTATCTAAATGATAAAACCATGAATTTAAAACCCACTGAATTTGCCTGAAATGGTAAATCAGCGAAATTACAGTAGTTAGTAAATTTACTAATACGAGTTGTGGTTTGTAAGAATCGCATAGGCATACGCTTGACGTGATACAATGTGCAAATTTATCACGCTTACCTAATTGCAGCATTGATGTAGATAATAACACACGTATCAACACTTGCAAAAACGTGCTTTCCGCCATTTTTAAATTCATTCACTTTCACCTGAAAGACAAAGGAAATGGTTGGTCATGTATAACACGAGAACATAGAAAATACATATGTTTATTAACTTGTTAACTAAATTGTGTACCTTTCCATATAGCTATTATCTAGGTAAGGGAGAAAGTGATTTGTGTGTGGGAGTGTCACAAAAGAAAATGGGCAGGGCTTCGAGTGTTTCACTTTGGTTGTATACATTGTTTTATCATTGGAGTAAAAATAGAAGCAAAGAAAGCCGCATTCGCACTTTGTAAATCTACACCATGACATCTTGTGATTGTGGTAAGTAATACAAATTAACTGCAGAATGTAAATTTAAGTGGGCCCCTTAAATATATCAAATTCGCTGGGATTTTCGTTGAACGTCAGTTGTACGGTAAGTATATTTGTGTACACGACAATAACCTCAGTACTCAGAAAATCAAATATGTGAAAGGTAAGTATATTTACATGTAATATCTCATAGTTATAGCAAAAAACAATATCATTTTTTAACATTTAATGTTTTAGCTGGTTCTTTGAGTGAGATTTTAGTAGTGTAGCAACATTTACTTCAGAACAAATGGCGTAACATAGATTGTTTTCAGTTAATTACATTCACCACCTATTTTCCTCAGGTTAAATGTCTACAGACAAAGAGAGGCTGCCATTACGTCGCTTGATTGACCTCTGACCTTGGTACACTAATGTATGGTGAGTGTTCGGCACAATCTAATTGATTGTATTTGTATGATAGGAAAATATCTAAATTCAAATCTATCAATTGAAGAAAAAAACAGTGTTGATTACACTCAAAATACACATGAATAATATCAGCACACTTCTTAGCATTTGTACGGTTCATCTACTCGTTCTACAACAGATATTTATATATATATATATATATATTGAAATTTTAATACGAAATGTTTTTTTTTAGAAATTCATGTTTTCGTTGAGAAATCCCATCCTTTAAATGAAGACTAAAATGGTTATATTGATTCCATCAAAACACCCGGAAAGCCAGTAGTGTATTCACAAAGTGCTGGCGTACAGGTGTGACAGTAATGTTATTATATCATGGATAGCAAATCATACCACTCTCAACTCCACAGGGTCGTTTTGTGAGTATGCTAATTACGAGAACAGCACGGCTTGTCTCGGTATTCACATTAAATTGGTTATATATAAGATGTGAATGCAAAGGAAGTTAATTTATTGCTAATGTAAGACGACATTTACCTCATATGCATAGAATGAGTCAACTTCCGGTAACTGGTTACACCTGCGTGAAATGAATTCTATTTTAAAAGGTAATCATAGTACCCCCCTCTTCTTTTGTGTTGGCTTTCGAGTAATGCTAATGTAATTGATTTTGTCGTGAATTGGTTCTATTATTACTTTTACAACGAGAGAGTGGTATACGAAAGTTCTGTCATTTGGTTTATTCTTGTATTGTAATTGATTTTTATTTTACCAAGATAACTATATTTTATTTCATTTCTCTGTCTACTCCTTTTGGAAGAGAATTTACTAAAACTGTGCTAAATTATTCATTGTGATTGACTTGTTTTAAATACCGAATAAAACTTGGGGCACTAGTTGTTAAATCTAAGTGAACATTTAAAATAACAATAAAACTCATTGTTTCCTTGACAAATTCATGAAATTAAAACACAGTGAATATGCTCAAAACATCAAAATAGTGAATTTAAATGACAGTGAAAATAAATGGTTTTACATTACTGTCTGAGTTGAAGTTATTGAGGCTAGAATATCCTGACATAACATTTCACGAAAAGATATTCATACATCTGTAAAATCAATGAATATTTGATGTTGATGGTGATTCAGTCCACTTCTGGTGGTTTTTCTGAACTCTTAATGATTTGATAACACAGACTTCTACTTTTTAGTCATTTCTGCAGTTAGCACCACTCTGTAATGTTTGTCTAAGTTCGTGCATGTGTCAACTCTATGTTCTAAACCTGTTAGGGGGGGGGGGTAATTATGCAAAATATATGTCTGACGTTTTACAAACTGCAATTTGTTTCATTATTCATATTTTATGTATTCATTCATTTCAGCTCTTATTCCTGTACATAGGTTAATGCCATAGCAACACCGTTTCCATGGTATATCCTTGATTGAATTGTCACGTGGCTACTCAAGGAGAACCCATATTGAATGCATCGTTGCCATTGTTTCGTGACGAGCTGACATTTTTCGCTAGATTTAAATCTTATTTTGTTTGTTTTTATAATACAAATAAACGTAACTAAAACTTTAAACACGTGCAGGTGCAGACGAGGACTATGTTCGTTTCACTGAAGAATTTCCCTTTGAAACTCAAATACCGTTCAAATGACAGCGATTAGTCTAGGGGAAAACTTAAGTGTAAATGAGAGTTTTCTAAAAAAAAAAAATTCTAAAAAATCAAGAAGCTGTTATTGTTCAAATGATCATATTAAAGACTTCCGTTGTTATAAGAACAAAAGTACCGCGATATGTACCGTTTTGGAGTCATGCATAAGGCAAATTGGGCAGTATTATTGTCGTCTGCGTCGTTGCTTAGGCTCATATTCCCCCTCCACTTTTCCTATTGCTCGAGCCAATATGTTAGAGCAATTATTCTGTAAGTTTATCTGAATTAAAGATAAATTTGGAACAGGACTATTTCGTGGAAGATTACCATAGTTGACAATGACAGTGAAACGGTTGTTCTCGTGACCTAGTGTATTTTATTACAAAGTTGAATATTAATGAGCCGACGTAGAGTCTAGATACATGCATTTCCATGGTTCGTTTGAGATCGGGTATGTTGACCCCGATGGGTCAGACATATTGATACATCGTGAATAGATTCCACAAATCAATTGCTGTATCGTAATTAAAAAATAAAACCCCAATTATACATGCAGAAATTAAAACACTTTCCCTGCAGGTAATGGTTCCTGATTAAATGTCCTTCCGTATAAATCAACATTAAATCAACGCCCATGTCAATCTATTGATCAGAACATTTTAAATGTATCATTTATACTTGAACAAATTTATTCGTGGAAATGATAGTATGATGGCCAGTAATTTACATATATGACTGGAAACAGTATTCTGCGCATGTGTAGTTGATATTAGCGATACGATGTACATCCACTGTATTATCTTGCATAATCTGCATTCTAGTCATAGCAATGCAGCCTTGAATTATTCAGTATGGGGTACATAAAGGGAATACCGTGGGCATCAAAATAATACCTGTAATACCGTACACATATAACAATAAATAAATAAATAAATAAATACAAACACTCGGTCTACATGCCTGAAATAATAGAAATACTGACACTGACAGTTTTGCATATTCTGTGTTTATCAGTGTATGTTGTAAATCGATGAATTGCTTCCTCTATTTGTATTATTAATATCGATATGAAGTATGTAGTCAGTGTACGTAAAATGTCATTATTCACAGCGCCTATTGGGTGATAAATTATTTCTCATTTCTATATCCGGGCATTCACTATTTGTAGTGTTTGCATCAACTGATGTGGCTAATTAATTGTATACAAATTAGGCACAATTAATTAATTTTTAATGACGTCTGATTGATATATTTCCTACTCATAAATATTATTATTTTAAAGCTGGAATAGCTGAATTTGGCGGGAAATGATATCGCATCGACGGCCTGCCACACGTGAAATGTACTTTGACGTGAGTGGGTAATAATATGATTATATTATTATTTTAATATACCTTGATTAATCAACCATGCAATACGTACACAGCAACTGTCTACAGAGCACTCTACTTGTGTTGGAACGCGTCGTATAAACACGGAACGTATAAGAGCAGTCGACATCGACATGGTAGTGTGATACTGTGATAGTCACGAGTAGTCATGGTTCTGACAAGATGATATTTGAGTACGTAGTGGTGTGTGCTATGCATCATGCCTTAGAAACCATACCGTGGCGAAATTTCCTACATTTCGGTTCATTAAATCTCAAAATAATGTATTCCAAATACAAAGCTACGGTAAAGAAACGCCATCGCTCCAGTTACCAATTTAAGGTTATAATATTCAAGATTTCGATCACTGATCGGGCAGTGTGTACAGCATAGTGATAATAACAATGATAATCAAAATGGCGTCCCCTTGTCACCAAGAACACGGGGGTCAGCAATTCACTTTCTCTTAATAGAAACAAAGTCACTAAGTGGTGCAAATACACAACAAGATGACAAAACATCTATATTTTGTCATTACTTCGAGATGTATATTAACTGTAAAAAATGTTCGTCTTTCTCGTAATCCCAGTAAGCGTGCTCTTATAGGTTTAGGTTTTAGGTAGCTATACCGTTCAGGACTACTAGTGGAAGGCGTGATAAGCAGTGGAGATACAAACACGATTCAACGCGAACAAGTCTTACCTTGTGGTTGACTCTGCTCACTTCACTCGTCCGTCGTTGCAGTGCACAGTTAACGGCGAACGAACAGTCGACGAAGTATTGACACGTTTAAACTTCCAAGACTCAAACTCGCGTATACAACGTGTAAAACACGACATAAAACGTCGCTACTTGGTTGTCTTAGAACCTCTAACTTGTTGTCCAGGTGACAGTCACATCTTTGGAAAAATTATACATACACGAGGTGTCGAAATTATCGGTAAAATTGTGAACACCTCAGCTTCCGGTTATAAATAGAAATATACAAGCCCTCATAGCAACTGTTGGTAAGAAGGCGAAATATATCCGATCCAGGTAAGTGTATCTTGCGCATGCGTCAATTTTCTTTCAAAACACGGGTAAAATGCACGTACTGCCTGTGTGTAACCTCTTTCGCGGTTGGCTACAGACAAAACCTTGCGATTAGGAAAACCAATTGGAACAGTCGTTATTTGAAACTATAGTAACGTGATTGTTTGTGGAACGATCTGGGGGAATTCTTTTCAACAGTTAGACAAACAACAACCCCCTTTCATTTTGATTCATATGGAAATTTCTCGTTCACCCTAAATGCCGGGTAACATGAAAGAAGCATTGTTAGCGTTAAATAGAATTTCGTTTTCATGGGATGCACAAAGAAAGGCGTGGACGAACCCTGTGCACTTGCATTCACTGAAGCCTTCAAACTGGGTGATCTGAAGTCACTGTGGCAATAGAAATACTAACAAGCGGCAAAAGAAACAGATTGTTCAGTTTTTGTGATAAAATTGAACAATGATTTCACGGCGTCCAAATCCTAAGACCACCACAATTGTGTTCACAATCTTCTAAATATTGTATACTAGTACATAGAGTTTTGAGCGCCAAGACGCGGGAAAACTTACATCACAGTATTCACCCTGTAGTGCAATTAGAAAAATTAGGGAAGTATATAAAATGAAAATACGCATTTCGTATAATACGATAAATTAAGGAGCCAGGGGCATGCGAGCTTCGGTTTCATACTCGCAGCGCCCTCTATTAATCATCGTCAGAATAAATTATTTCTTGATTTGGCTTTAATGTCAATGGCACTGCATATTTATTTCATTTGGTGAATTAAATATTATTTTTTTGGTGAGAACACGTCATTTTGGATTTCAACCTGGAGGAACCTCTAAAAATGCTAGCCCATTTGCCAACCGCCGCTGTTAATAAATTGTAAAATTGACATATATTAAAATTAATTACTTTAGAAGTACGGCGCCGCGATCAAATAATAAAACTACAGATTAACAAACACATTAGACCTATTAGTTTATAATGGATCGACCTGTCATAATAATCGGGCAGATTTGTTGTTTAATTTCTTGACTGAACTCAAAGGGGCGCGATGTGCAGAGACTGTGCTCTTTTGGAGTTTCGTGTAGATTTGCTGAATCTGGGTAGCTGAAAAATAATTTGCATTATAAATTGTATCAAATGTATTATCTGTGACGTCATCATGCATCTAGCCCGTGTATTCACCGAGCAATCTTGTTTTTTTTTAAATGTTTTTGCTAAGTTGTTAGCCCCAAAGATAAATGAATCAAATCTTGTTTAACTCCAGCATAGAACTGTGTTGTTCTGAAAGTTGAATATCAAATGTAATTAATAATGAAAAGGATGTTATCTCACTCATGTTAGACACACACAGTGACGTCGCTGGCCAAGTTTCCAGTCTGATGATATGTATCATGATTATTATTGTCACAGATCACGTGAGTTATTTGATTATATGCATATCGACGTATATAAATGATTACAATCTCAGTTATCATACATGTGTGATACAAACAATAATTTGTTTCCATCCATCATTTGCATTGTTTCATAACGTTTATGATT